ATGTGATCAGGGAGGGTCAGGTTTGGGTCATGCACAGCAATGTCTAATGCTGGTATGCCCTTAAACCAACCAAGGAATATAAACACATAGGGGATATGGGGGGTTTAGGGTTCATAAGTGACTGATAGAGTTCATACATAGGGGAAACATGAGTTTAGAAAAAGAAGGGGCAGATTACAACATGCTTAACAATGCAACTTGATTAAAACATAAACAGAAATAGGCAAGAGTGAGGGAAATAGCAAAGAAAACATGTTGTTGATGCTGGAAAGTTAATTAGAACATACCAGTAAAGAAGCAAATGCAGAAAGAAAAGTGAGCAAGTTCCTACAGCCTAGCCTTGGCTTTCAGTCGACTAGACAAGGCAGCAACACAAGCAGTAACTGAGAAAAAGAGAGAGAGTTTGAGTGAAGTGTGTGTTCTGAACTCAAGTAGTTCGTCTCTTTGAAAGAAGAGGAGTGCAGGGTATTTATAGCCTTTTGAAAACATGTGAGAAATAAGGTAATAAGTAAAGTTTTGATACAAATATAGAAACAATCAACAGTTAGAATCAATCAACCAAGTGATTTCCCTATAATTGAGGAATCACTTGTTTAACGGGGCTAACAGATTCAAAGTAAGGAAAGAAAATCAGTTTGTAGGCAGACTGATTATTGCCATAAAAGAAGTAGTAAAATATTAAGTAAGCAATCGAGTCTAAGTACAGAAATACACTTATTTCGGGAAAAAGATTCAGTAAAGCAAAATAAGAAAAGAATCAATTAACTTTAACAGGCGAGTGAAATTAGAGTTTCACAAAAGAAAAGTTTCAAATCAGCCCCAAGATTGAAGATCAATCAAAGAAGGAACCTCAGCATATAAATAGAGTGCGCAAAGACTAGACATGTGAAGCCAAACCTATTGGCAAAAGAAGCAGCATGCAATAGTAGCACAAAGTTCAGTAGATAGCAAACATTCGAAGCATGATAATCCAGTAGGTCGAGTCACATTGAATCAACAGTGAAAAAAAATAGAGTATCGGAAGCATGCAAAGGCTGTCACAGTAACAGATGAGAAACCCTTTGAAAAGTTAGGGTTTCAGGCATAGTCAAGTTTTAAAGATAGTAAAAACCCAGAATTAGAGGAATCGCATAAAGAAAAGAGATTCAGAAACAAGGAACCTCAAGTCGGGTCAGGTATCCAAACGAACAGTTTCAAACCCAAAGACATAGGTTCCTTCAACAATAATCAAGCTTAAAAGATGATAATCAAATAAATCGAACAAGAACTTAACCAGACAAACACTTATCCAACAAACAGTTTCAGAACTCAAATGAATCCAAAGTAACTAGGGTTTTCAATATGAACAAAACATAGTAAAACCACAGACACATTAAAATTAGAGAAAAAGATTTTGAAAAGAAAACTTGAAGGAAAAAACCCTAATCGAAAAAGCTGAAGAGTCTTTTTTTTAAAGCAAAGTTAAAGAAGCTTTGAGAAGATGTTTAAAAACTCATAGCAAGCATGAATCTAAGATAGATCTGAACAAAGTCGAAAGGTCTTAGAGATTAGGACTTTAGAAGAACCCAAAAGCAACGAGAAAGGCCTTGAAAGTTACTGATCCAACCAGGAGAGTCAAAGGTCTGACTTGAATTGCCATGGCTGGCCGGAGAAAGGTCAGGGATGACCGGAGAAGGGTCATCGAGCAAAGACTGGGCCAAATCCCTTTAGAGTCTGGTAAAGATGAAAGACTAGTAAAAAATTGGGTATCAACAGCTGCCCTACTTTACCCGGGAAGGATGAAAGAGTTGTCGGGTAAAGATATGATGGCCAGTTTTGACCGAGCGGAACGGTTCGAAGAGATTTAGGCCGCGCCCTGGCTTCTGAGCTACCTACATATCCCTGGATTTACAAGAATCAGGCCACATGTAGTTCAGGATTCATCAGCGGAGGATGCCGATGGAGCCCTGGTCATGAGACCACATAACCAAACACATAGAAGCCCTGGAAGGCTGGTATAGGTCTCCGATGACCTCAGAATGCCATGGATTAGGGTGGCGGAGGCTAGGGTTTGAGGGTGTTGTAGAGAGGATTTGGGAGAGGAGGGATTCAGAGGTGGCGTATGGTAACAAATGAAAGGGTTTGGGGGTAGTTCGGAATTAATTAAGGCAAGGGTGATTATTGGTCGTTGATCTGAATGATCAATGGCCCAGATTAAAATGGGTAAGTGGGTGGTTTAATGAAACTGGGCTTGGGTTGGTTTAAATTGAAATTGGGTTGGGGTTCAATTGAGGTAGAGTTAGGCTACAATTGAAATAAAATCTGGCTAGATTTTAAATAGCTATTTTTCCCATTTATTTTATAAAAAATAGTAAATTAAATTCTGGAAATAAATTGAAAGTACTAAAATGATTTGTAACACATAATTATCAATTTAAAAATACTGGACTTAATTTTTATAAATATAAACGCAATTAAATCCAATAAATGAATCACCAAAATGATAATTTGGGAATTATTATTGGGTTTTTTATGAATAAAATAGGGGAATAATTGATTTAAAACCTTTTAAAAATTAAGGAGAAATAATAAAATATTTGGGCATACTTATATATGCATACATATGTTATTTTTAAGGTATTTTTCATATTAAAATATATAGGGAAAAATTGGGTATCAACACACATCCTAAGTTTATTCTATTTTTTAGGGACTACGACTACGTTTGCCAGCCATTCGAGATATTTTACCTTCCGAATGGACCCTATTTTGAGAAGTTTGGTTACCTCGTCCTTGATGAATGCATGCTTAACCTCGGACTAGGACCTTCTCTTTTGCTTTACCGGTCGGAACTTTGGGTCCAAGATCAATCGATGGGTAGTGATCTCCGGTGGAATCCTCGTCATATCAAGGTGGGACCAAGAAAAATAATCCATATTATCGATAAGGAATTTAATGAGTTTTCCTCTGAGCTTGGGGGTTAACCTCGTGCCTAGGTATACTTTTCGATCGGGCAGATGTTCGATTTGTTCCAGCTCTTCGACCGTTGATTTTGTTGCATCAGAATCATCGGGGATTATGAAGGTTCGAGGTGTCATATAATCAACATCCTCGAAAGTTTCCTGCTCCTCTGATCGGGCCGAGGCCGGTGACTGTGGTTGCTATTTGACTTCTTGCTTTCCTTTTAACTCCGATCCCTTTTGTTAATCAAAGCACCGATATCGGTTCTACTTCTTCGATTGCAAATATTTAATTGGCAGCGGGTTGTTCACCATACACTGTTTTGATTCCTTATGATGTTGGGAACTTCAGGACTTGATGAAACATCGAGGGCACTACCCTTATATTATGGAACCAAGGCCTTTCGAGCAATGTGTTGTACCTCATGTCACCTTTGATAGCATGGAACTTTGTTTCTTGGATGGTCCTGGCCACATTTATTGGAAAAATGGTTTCCCCTTTGGTGGTTTCACTTGCCATGTTGAAGACGTTAAGTGCTCGAGTTGCGGGCACGATTTGATATAGGAGGCCGAGTTGCTCCATGACCCTTGATCGAATAATATTTGCTTAGCTACCTGGATCAATCAACACATGTTTAACTTGAATTTTATTCATAAGGATAGATATGACCAGCGCATCATTGTGAGGTTGTTCGATCCCTTCTGCATCCTCATTGTTGAAAGACAAAGTTCCTTCTGGTAAGTAGTTCCGAGTCTGCTTTTCCCTTGTGATTTTCACCTTGGTGCGTTTAAGTATTGGTCCTTGAGGAATATCGACCCCACCAACGATCATATGAATCACGTGTTGTGGTTCTTCCTGTTTGTTTTTCCTGTTCGAATCCTTGTCTCTGAAGTGATTTTTAGCTCGATCACTCAAGAATTCTCGGAGGTGACCCTCGTTGAATAAACGAGCTACCTCCTCCCTCAATTGTCTGTAGTCTTTGATTTTGTAACCATAGGTACCATGGTATTTGCATATTTGATTAGGGTTCCTTTGAGCTGGATCGGTCTGTAGGAGTCTGGGTCATCTAGTATCCTTGATTCGTCCAATGGCTGATATAATACCCGATGCATCGATGTTGAAGTTGTATTCTGATAGTCGTGGTATTTCTGTGGGCTCGACATGTTTATCGAAGCCACTTTTACTCATGAGCCCTCGGGAGCTCTGTCTTCGATTATTCCTTTGATCATTTCGAATGGGATTATGTCCTGGGCAGCTATTTCTATGATATGCGTTATATGGTTGGTATTGATCTCTATTCGATCGGGGTTCTCTGTCGATGTCCCTTTGAATTCTGGCGACGGGCCTATTTAGGTAAGCGGAACCAGAAGGGGTTCCCAATTGATCATCCTCGACCCTGATCTTTGACTGGTATCGATTATGTACATCGGCCCAGGTCATAGCGGATATTCAATTAAATTCTACTTTAGTTGTCGTGATGCTATCAAACTTCATTCGTTCAAGCCTTGAGTAAAAGCTTGAACAGCCCAATCATCTGTGACTGGGGGTAGGTCCATGCGTTCCATCTGGAACCGAGATATGAATTCCCTTCATATTTCAATGTCTTTTTGTCTCACTTTAAAGAGATCTGACATCCTAGTCGCAACCTTTATTGCTCCGGCGTGTAACATGCTCATTAGGGTCAGTGGTCCCGTTGTATTTGGGTATTACTGGCATGCGAAATTTTTTTGGGATGGGCTTCAAAGCTGCACTAGGGGGAAAGGCTTCTGTACGAACTTCTTTGAATCCAAACCCTTTAGAATCGGTAGGGGCCCCGGTATTTGGTCAACCAGGGAGTTGTATGTTTCTACCTTTTTATTATTTGCCTCGATTTTCTTTTCTCCTGATTCAATCTATTTATTGAGCTCCTCGAGCATTTTTATAATGGCAGGGTCAGTCCCTGAGTTATTGGCGTTCGATCTCTTCGGTATAGGTTCGGCCCTACGAACAGCTTCTGGTTCGGGTTCTGGTTCGATCCCATTTGGTGCTCGATGTTGATTCTATAGGTGCGCTATAGCGGTTTATTGAGCCTGTAGCATTTCAAATATCAACTGGAGGCTAACTCCACCGTCTTCTCTACCATGCGTACCTCGACCATCTGATCGAACTTCCCTGCATATGCTACCTTCGGGATCAACGCCCAGATTTGCATTTAGGGCAACATGTGAACTGACATCGACGAGATCTACAATTGGTACTCCCTCAAGGCCAGCCTGAGGCACTTCAATCCCTCAGGCGGCTACATTGTCATTTTCTCCATGAAAATCAAGGTCGTTGTCAGCGTGAGTGGGTACTGCTTGCGAGTTTGACATGTTGAATCTGAAATCAAAAACACTCACAAGAACAAGCGTAAAGTAGTGTGTGTTACGAGAATTAATACCAGGAAATCACTATTATCCTTAGCCCCAAGGTGGGCGCCAAACTGTTTACCCTAAAAATTAGATAACAATTAAACTTATAATGTGGTTTTAAGGACACATGATTTCACCTAATACCAATTGATGAATATGAAGATTAGCAATAGAAATTAACAATAAGATAAAGCAAACCAGTGTTGAAACGCAATTCAGCCCCCGAACTAGAATGCCCTCGAACTGGTCGGTACCAAAACAATTAAGAAATAAGCAAGCTGATGAACAAGAATATATGCTAGAGAAAAAGTGTTATATTGTTTTGATATGTGTGAACAATGTGTCCGACAAATAGTTAGAACCCTCCTCTTTATATAGTAGAGGAATTTTACTTATGGTATAACTCTAATTACAGAAGAAAATCCCATGATTAGCTAATTAACCGCTCCTGATTTGATCTGTTCCGAGATTAACGCCATGATCTTCGATCAGTCATGGATATCTCGCTTTTCTATTATTGTGCTATCTCCGATTTTGCTCGATGTCTGTCTCATTTGGTCTCGATCACCACTAGTCTCGATCTTGACAGGTACCTTGATTCCCAAACTTGGTACCTTGTCCTCGTGTTTTGGTCTGATCCACTACGGGGCCGACCTTCGATGCAACTCCCTAGGCTCGGTCAAATAGTAGAATCGGGTGGGCCTGGTTTTAACCGTATACAAAGAAGTTGACTATTTTTTTTTTGTTTTTTTAAAATCCCTCCCAAATTAGGAGATCTATAGTGTTTTCACAGTTCCCCTCCAGCATGACTCGAACCCAAGACCTAACAGTCCAGTGGCGGATCTACATGTTGTTTTTAGGTGCTCAAGCATACATTATCTTTGACAAGATTTAGTAAATTTGTATAGGTAATTATAAAAATATTTAGATAAATATTGAGAGAGCACCCATAACTAAACTTTTGTTTTCCTTTCTTTCAGAATTGTTATCAATGAGCACCCACGACATTAAAATCATGGATCTACCACTGTAACCGTCGTAAGTGGAGATGTTTTACCAACTGAGCAAGCCCACTCGTCGTTGATTGTCTTTGAAATGCAAAGAACGTGCCTTACGAAGTTACTATATTCTTAATATGTACATAAAATATTGTATGTCTATGATCGTTGATTGAGATTATGTGACAACTATTCGTGTGAGTTGGAACAAGTGCGTGAATACATGCATATAAGCGCGTGAGCCCTAGAAAAGAGGCTGCAAAATTTATTTATTTATTTGCTTTTTTAAGAAACTTCTTCCCAAGCTCCATTGTTGAACAAATATGGAGGCTCCATTACTTTTTATTCTTGACAAGTGAATATTTGCAATCATTTGTTGCTAATTTGGCAATATGGATCCATTCATTTCAAATGTAATCTTATTGTTATCAATTACTTCCCACTCCTTTCCTCTCCTTGGCTTGAATCAGTTTTCTCGTTAACTATGGTCTCTATAATGTTTCATGCTAATTAGCTTCATATTGATATTTTTGGAACTTATAAAAGTGTTAAAAGAGAAACTGTACAAATAGAAAAATACACTTTTATTGATATACACAACAATTTAATTATTTTTCAAATTCATATATTGCTTATCAGAATGACATTAACATAGAATAACATTATCAATTCATATAACATGTAAATTAATAATGTTTTAAGATAAATTAGATTAATTGATTATACTGAAAAGGCAATACAAACATCAAACTGTTTGTAAGAATATAATTAACATCTCAAAAAGAGAGAATAAAACTCTAATAAGCTTAAATAATCAAGCTTAAACACTATTGCTCTTATTAAAATTTAACTTTAGACCACTTTTTTTATGGAGCCGACCTCGCATAAACAAAGCCTGAAAACACTCGGAATCTTTTGAAACAAGCTTCTCTCTTGTTCCTTCCAACTGCTCCTTCAACATCAATAGTTGATTCAAGTTCTGACATTCTTCAACATCAATATCCTCCAACCAATCCCGGAGGCTATTCCTCGGGGACGGGGATGATCTCGACCCCGAGGAACTGGCAGAAACATCATCAGAATTAGAATGATGAGAATTCAGCCCAGATGATGATGGCTCTGAAAAACTTGAAAAATGCCTCTCTATTGCATAACTAACATTGCCGCAAGTGTACGGCCTTCCGGTGGGAGAAAAAACCACCGCCGCAACACGAGATCCGGTCATGGATTCAAGTTCTCCAGCTTTTTTGAAAAGTCCTTTGCGTCTTTTAGAGAATGTAACCATTCTCGACGTTTCCTTTGTTATTTTCTCGATCTGTATCTTCTTCTTTCCTGTGCCCATCTCCTCGTTTTCTTCTTATTATTTTTCGTGTTTTTCAAGTGTAGATTGTGCCTTTAAAAGCTTTTGAACAATTTGCAATTCTTAAATTAAAGGTTTCATATTTATAGGGAGAGAGATACTGTTTAGGAAAGGATTCCTAAAGCCATATAATATTGGTAGTTTCCTATTGTAAATATACTGTTTGCCATATTAGTGATTTCCTAATTTTTCTGTGTATAACTTCTCGCCGCCTTAAACCAAGAGACGTTTCTTTTCATTTTTTCCCTTTTCCGAAGGGTTTAATTTATAGTGCTTTTATCTTTTTATCAATTTCAATTCAAATTAGACTTCGGTTTGACTTGCGCTTTTATTACTCCCTCCTAACTTATTATTGTCTTTTCACGCTAATACAGTATATAATTTACCATAACACTCATATTAATTAGTATATAGTCTTAATGGATTTGGAATGAATAACTAATATTAAGGACAAAACAGAAAAAATAAAAGTATTTTTCTCTTGATATACGAAAAGTGACAAGTAAAAATAAAAATTTATTTTTAGAATATTTGACAACTAAAAGTGAACGGAGGGAATAGCTTATACTTAGTCGTTTTTAAGGTATGTTTAGATCTTGAATATTGAGCATTAATGTGGTAGTATTTAATTTAGTGTAAAAGTCCTAATTAGTTTCCATGTTGGTTGTTCCTATATTAGTTATCTTTTCCATATTAGTTTCCTATTCAGAACCAACCTTCTTTTTTCCGTAGTAGTTTCCTATTTTTTTGTGTAACTTCTCATCGCCCTAAACCAAGAGCCGGCTCTTTTAATTTATTTGTTTGGTTTAATTAACTTTCTATTTTTAAGCGAATTAACTTCCCTTTTTAGGATTAACATTGAAAAGGAAAAGTTCGTTTTCTTCTTTTTGCAGGTTAAAAAGAATTTCCTAATATAATTTTTGGTTTCTAGAAAGCGTTTGGTTTAATTTTTTTTTCCCCAAAACATTTGGTTTGATTTCGAAAAGTAAAACATGTTGTTTAGTTTAAATGAGATTGGTTTATTTTTTTGCCTAAACTTATAAACAGGCTTAATTAATTATTTGTTACCTTTTTGTAGGATACCATGCACGTCGGGATAGAAAATTTTCTTTAATAAGTTTTCTGCTTTTCAGTTTAGTTCTTTTGGGGGCTTATTTTTGAAATAAATCATACAGACCGTGGCGGATTCAAGATTTAGAAGTTATGGGTGCTCGTCGAAAAAACTCCAAAAGAAGGTGGAAAAGAAATTTAGTTGTGAGTACTCGCTTAATACTTATTTAAATTTTTTGATAATTGCCATAGTAAATTTAATAAATTTGGTTAAAGACAATGGGTGCTAAAGCACCCATAATGGTCCGTGTAGACCCGCCGCCGCATATAGAAAATGAAGAAAGCCTTTATGATTAGTATGATATGCTTCCATGCTATAGTATTTAATTTAGTTTAAAGTTCTAATTAGTTTCCATGTCTTACAGCTTGTTTGGATGGTTGTTAGATATGTATAGTCGTATTGTTATTTTAAATACAATGTTTGTTTTGATTGTTACTTAAATTTTATTGTATCGTATTGTTAAATCCATCGTTACGTAACGATGAAATATCCCACTTTATGTAACGACCGATTTGGTGTGGTTGCATCGTTACCGTGTCTTTTTCTCTCAATCTCACCCCTTCATTATTATTAAATAATTTTATTTTATTATTTATCCTACCTTTTTATATACCGTATCATAATTTTTCTTTATAATATTGCAAGTTTATTCATCATATTACTAGTGCGTGATCCCATGAAACGACGGCAAAACGACATAATCCATCCAAACATTATATTCATCAAACGATATAGTACAGTACAATACAATACAATACGATACGATACATAATGAAACGATATGTAACAACCATCCAAACAAGCTGTTAGCTATCCCTATATTAGTTTTCTTTCTTGAAGGTTAAGGATAGGGTTAGGAGTTTTTAAGTGTTAATATGACCCCGCTGTAATTAGGGTACCCTTATAAATAAAATGATTTCTATAAATGTGAAATTTTAAAAACCACTAGTGACATAGTTTTTCGAGTTAATCTGAGCACGACGGTTAAGTTAACAAATATTTACCCCGTGTTTACATCAAGGACCAACTCGTAATTTATTTAATAAAATAATTAAATCATGATTAATTTTTATAATATAAAAATATATATTTATATTAATTAACGAGGATTAAGTGAGAAAATTTTATATGCAAACACATGCATCTATTAGTTAGGTAAGTGTTTACCTCTAATCAGTCTCCATGTCTAATGTCTTTCTTATTCATTAGGTTTCTGTTTTTCATTTGCTTGCGCATAAAGTCCAGGGTTAGTGAGATTACTAAACACTTTCTACCAATAGTTGAATATTTCTCCATAAATAGTGACTAATTTGATCAAATTAATTATTGTATAATCACTTAACTATTCAAATATCACGTGAGGTATAAAATCCTAGATCATTTTTTGTCTAAACTAGTATTAGTATACGTGCAACACACGTGTATATAGTGTCTGTCAATTAAAATTATATACATTGACGTTGAAATTAAATACAGTATTTGTTTAAATAATGGAAGTAAATATTATCATATTGACACAGCAGTTGAATTCAATATTTTTTAAATATGTAGAGGTAATGGATTTAGCTAAGTTAATTATATATTAATGTATAATTACACATATCTCGCAATATGAGATGCAAATATGTTATATTATGTCTCACCCAATTATGAATATATTTTGTCTTTCATTATTTCATCCTTATTTCTTCAAGTTTGTATTTTGACCAATTTGATTCTTAATGCTATAGCTGATTTTGTTTTATTTTTGATTTCTTTCCTTGACGATATCTTTTTATGGGAAATTATTTTTGTATTCTAATATTGTGTAAACTTGAAAAATGGTTTTACCTATATGATGAATTTGAAAAAGAATAAAATTGGATTTTTATTCTAATTAGTTCATTCAAATACTTAATTATTTTTTTAAATATCAAAATAAATAATTTAATTTTTGAGGATTCAAATTCTTAATATTAGCTCATACCATATTTTAAATATTTAATTATAATTATATTTTTATCCACAAAAAAAAATCTATTTTTAACTGATAAATATTCGAACTTTTGCACTTTATGTTTGTCGAAGCGCTGATATAAATGATTTTTGTCAGTCACTTTTCTTTTTCTCTTTCTATTTGATTTTATTAAATATTTTTGTAATTATTTATTTTAATTATGTTTTAAAATCTATAGTAATATTTATATCTAAGCAAGTTATTGATCGAAGTGGACCAATCTCACATAGACTACTCATATCATTTATAATTATCGAATTAGGATAAAGGACCAAGCAAAACGCTCCCTCCTGTTTGTTTAATTTTATTTTGGGTAATTTAGTGAGAGAAACTCCTCCTTCTCTCTAAACCTTCCCTCTCCCCAAAACTTCATCCACTTACGAATCACCATGTCCACTGAACTCCACTAATCAAATCCCTCCAAAACTCCGAACATTAACTCACCTACTTCTCCTTCACAAATTCCCTCGTTCAAAGATAAACTCCTAACCCAAGATGTAGGGGAAAATAACCTAGTATCCATACATATTAACTCCCGTATCCCAACCGCACAAGCATTTATGGAAGAATCAGTCCAAAATCTGAACTGTCTCGCCACTTCAATCGTCATGGCACTACCAATTACCGACTCCATGGTATTAGACCCCCCAACACCCTTAGACCTTCAAAAATTTAAACGCATAACTCTCTCTGATGCAGATACGGCTAGAATGTACTCCCCATGGAAATTTTCCCTCATAATCAAGTTACTGGGAAAAAGAGTTATCCATCATTACCTTCAATCTAAAATCACAGAGTTATGGAAACCTTCCGAAAAATTCCCACTTATTGACCTGGGTTCAGACTACTTTATCGTCAAGTTCACAGAGGAGGAAAATATGACTAAGGTTCTGAAAAATGGCCCATGGTTCATAAACGGACATTATTTATCAGTGAGGCGATGGGAACCTAACTTTGTGGCCAGCAAAGCAACCCAGATACACTCAGCAATATGGGTAAGACTATCCCAGCTTCCTACTGAATTCTACGACTCAATTATCCTAAGCAAAATCGGAAATACCATTGGAAAGCTACTCAGGGTAGATGCATGTACTAGCTCCACGCTCAGAGGGTGATATGCTCGGCTATGTGTGGAAGTGCCACTAAATCAACCAGTACAATCGGCCATCTTGATAGGATCACATATGCAACAACTTATCTACGAAAGGAAAAAATTTCTTTGTAAGCTCTGTGGAAGACTTGGCCATATAAGTCAAACATGCACCCACAGAGCCCAGGAATTATTTGCCCAAGAAGCACAAGGAATGGGGGAGACTAGTTTACCAACTATTACGCAAGATCAATGGCACACGGTATCCTTTGCAAAAAGAAAAGGAAAAGGAGCACCCAAACAGAAGGCAATCCATCAAGATCCTCTCCCAGAGGTATTAAACACACCGGAATCAGGTATCAATGTTAAACTTTTTGATGCTTCAATAGGTAAGTATCTTAACACCCAAAAGTTTATTTACAAATCCAAAAGTTTGGCTAACTCTACTTCTTATACTAACCCATCTAATAAAATTGAACCCCAAGTGCATATCCCCAGTACTTCCCCAACTAAGGCTTTAAGTATTTTTAGTAATAATATCACCTCCACTAATCCTATTCCTACCATGAGTAAATTCGCACTTCTCCCACCTCAGGATGATTCTAACTCAACGAATCTTTATTCCTCTGATGGTATGGAACTTGATACCATTAGGAATGTTGATATCCCTACTTCTCTCCCTTCATTACCATCGAGGAACCCAAAAGAGACAGCCTCTAACACATGGACACATGGCATTAGTGCTGCCAAACCTATGCCAAACCCTAAACCATCTACTAAACCTT